CACATTCGATGACAGTTAGACAGAAAACTGACACATGTATCAGAGAGACACTTTAGATATTAGTATAAACATAGTATATATATATATATAATACACCACCACAATATCTTGGTTCAATAATTTCAGAAAATGATCTTAATTGGCTGGATAATAACATTAACAAGAATAATCAAAATATAATCAAGGCAATAATTTAATAAATAATAACAGTGTTGGATCAGTCGGTAGTAACTCACTATTACTACCACCTCCACCACAAAAGGTTGTGCAAAATATCAAACCAAAGAAAGGTAGCGTCTATGATAATGAAATTCAAGCATTAACCAAAAGAAGAGCCAATAGCGCAAGTTCCAATGGAGGTAAAAATTACAGTAGTTCTAATGACGACTCTGGTAATAATAAAAAACAAAAAAAAACCACATTTGACAAGAATGCAGGTGGTGGTATTGGCGGCAATAACAGTGATAATGAAGGTGGTAAAAAAAAGAAAAAGAATTTATCAGCAATTGCAGCAGCAGAGGGTAAAAAGATTCCAGTATGGAGAAAGGTATTAAGTGACGACTCAAAATTATTCTCAAACGAAAGAACATGGATGAGTTGGGTTGGAACAACATTCTCTTTAGGCGCCATTGGTACATCAATTATTACTTTTTTTGGTACAGAATCGTTATCTCTATTCACCGGTCTTTGTCTCTGGATTATTGCAATTGGATTTTTAGTTTATAGCTATATTATTTTCAGGTTAAGAAGAAGAGCCATCATAAATAAAGTAGCAGGTCCTTTTGATGACAGATATGGCCCAATCGCTTTAATTGTTATGGTTATGTTTGCAATCACACTTTTCTTGGTATTCTTTATTGTCAAAAAACCAAAAGCTTTGGCAGAAAGATAAATTAATAAAAAAAAAATAAAAAAAAACAAATAAATAAATTATAAATTATAATTATAAGAAAATATAAAACCAAATATCTTTTTTTTTAATATAACAAGTTTTTAAAAAAAAAATATATAAATATTTTTTTTTATTTATTTTTTTTTTTTTTTTTTTTTTTAATATATTAATAAACTAATAATAATAGTCTATTATTTTCAAATAAAATTTATATTTTATTGTTTAGTTGTTGAATTTGGTAATACAGTATCGGGGGAAAAATCTAATGGTTGTGTTTGTTCTACATCAATTTTTAATTCTGTTAAAAATAAGGATATTTGATGAACTTTTAAGAAATTATAGGCCATTGGTTGGTAACGCATAGTATTTGTAATTACTTTCCAAATGATTCTACGTTTGTTCAAATTTATTAAATTATTAATTCTATCTGGATTTGATTCGTCGACAAACGCCAAGTCACGCAAATGAATACCAAGGAAAGGAATACATGGTGGTTTTGCATCTTTATAATTTATTCTATAATTTCTAAAACTATTTTCGCTCGAGAAAAGCTTTTCCAAATCTGCAAATGTTTCTTGTTGTTGTTTTGAAAGATCTTTACGGATAGCTTTGGTTCTAAATACATGAGTATTATTAATACCACCATAGATTGCCATTAAGGAATGGAAATTATTGTTGGCACGAAGATGTTCGGAAATCTTTAAGAATCTGCCTAAAAGCTTGGTTCTTCCTTTAGAGTTTTGTTCATTAAGAATTGAGCTTGCAATCCACTTTGTAAAATCATTAAATCTTCTCATCATATTTAAAAGATTGACTGCCTTTGATCGAAATTGTGGTTTGGTCCAACCTTTAATTAAAAATTCTGATGTCTTTATTAATTCGTAAAGTCCGAAATCAATAACACATAATTGTCTTGCTATCTCTTCTTCATCTATATCATCAAATGTTAAAGTTGGTGAAAATATATTCTTTGGTACTTTTGGTTCTGGTGGATCTTTAATTTCTCTTCTTTGAGTTTCTTTCTTTTCCTATAAAAAAATAATTAAAAAAAAAAAAATCAATAAAATATTCACAGCCATTACATTTAATAATATTTGATAACTTACAATTTTTGAACTAATAACTGCACGTAATTGTTTAGCATGAGCAGTTGCAACTTGATGATCAATAAAATTATTTAGAATAGCTAATAGTTTTTCATTAAAATCTGTTGGTTGTTGTTCAATCCATACTTTAATAAAACAAATAACTTGAGCACTATCTATATTTTCAAATGAATGATAAATTTGAATAAATTTGTTTAAAATAGTTTCAGCTGAAGTAAATGATGGATAAGTTAAAAAAAATATTTTCTTTTCATTTGCATCTATGGTTTGTAGAAAAAAAAAAATTTTGATTGGTTAATATATTTAAATATATATTAAAATTATGTTTTCTTTTTTATTATAAAATATGCATACCTTGGCCATTAAAATTTCCAACTAACCATAATAATAATCTGTTTAATGATGCTGCTTGAATTGTCATATCTGGATTTCTTATAATTTGACTTTCATCATAACGATCATCAGCTAAATTACCCTCTTCTAAATTATTTTCGTTTGAATCGTCTGAATTATAAGCATGATAAGTTTCTACCTCACAATCAGGATCCTCGTTGTTTGCTAATGGTCCAAACCAATTAATATCTTTAATTCCAATTCTAAGTAAGTTTTCGAGTGTATCTTTATCGACTTCGTTTGGAACGAATTGAAGTTTAGTCTCTTCTTGAATTTTCTTTAAACTTGTAGTTAAATTCTCCTCGTGAAGATATTGCATAACCATTTTTAATAAGATGGTATCATTGATTGCATGGCTTGCCTCTGTTTTACCTGCTCTTTTATTTCTAGAATATGATTTTGAATTTGTAATTGGTCTTGTTCTTTCACGAAGCTCTAAAATATCTGAATGCTTGTGCATAGCCTTTGATAACCATTCGCTAGCTGGAAAATTTACAAAACTATCATTATCATTTATACCATCTTGACCTGATGATCCACTAAATGTTGAATACTGTGAGTTTGTTAATTTCTTTTGTGGTGTATTATGAATTTGTTGTACAATTGGATTATTTGACATTTTTGCTTATTAAAAAATATAAAATAATATACATATAAATATATGGTGAGATATTATAACAAAACTATAAAAAAAAGATTAAAATATAAAAACTAAATAATAATATAAAGGAAAAATTATTTGAGGTGATGAAAAAGAAAAAAATAAAAATAAAAAAAAAAGTGTTCTAATGTTGTCAGTTAATTATTACTAATGATAATTATTTTGATTATTTGTTTTTTAAGTGATTTATTTTATATATCAATATCTATTTATTAGCAATACAACAAAAACATTATTGATTGTAATGATAAGAGAATAGAAAAATAAAATAATTTAAATAAGGTAACGGGTGTATGTTTATAATATTTTATGATATTTATTGTGTATATATGAATATATTTGTGTGGGTGGTAATATACTTGATTCTACTTGGTGTTTAGTGGTGGTAGTGGTGTGATGATAAAATATTTTATTATTGTTATTATAAAGATAAATAGATAAAAAGAAAGAAAATAAAATATTTTTATATGTATATAATTATTATATATAAAATTTTTAATGATGATGATGATGACTATTATTATTTAATTGATTCTAAATGATATATTATATGATATGATTAAATAATAATAAAATAATAAGAATAAAAAAAAACACAAAAAAAATAATAAAAAAATTTAATTATGATAATATACAATTTAATCTATTTAATTTTTATAACTGAAATAAAAAAAAATAAACTAAAATCTTTTACAAAATAATTATATGTATAATACAAATATTGAGATAAAGTGAAAAAAAAAAAAAAAAATTACAGTAAAAAAAAATTTTATTTTTAAAATAAAAAAATAAAAAAAATAAGAAAAAAAAAAAAAAAAATTTTAAAATTTTAAAATTTTTTTTATTTTTATTTTCATATAATAACAATATAAATTTTTTTTTATTTTTCTATATAAATATTTTATTTCTCTATAAACAAATATTTTAATATTTAATAAATAAGTTTTTAATTTATTTAATTATTGATCATTACAATTTTATCCAAATCAAAATCTTGTGATATTTGTGAAGTTTTAATAAAACTAGTGTGTAGGTAAGCATATTTTTTTTATTTTTTTTTTTTATTTTTTCATTTTTTTTAGTTTTACAAAATTTTTTGATCTTTGTTTGTGATTAAATTTAGATTAAAGTGGTTTAATAATAAAAGCATACAAAACACACACACACACATACACACACACAATAAAAAAAAACAATAAAAATAAAATAATTACGATATCATAATATACATGTAAAAAACTAAAATAAAATAAAACTTATGATTTATTATTAATATCATAATCATAATAATCATAATAATAATAATAAGAGTTTAATAGATTTTTCTATATTCTTTTTTTTACTTTCCTCTTTTTTTATTTTTGTTTTTGTTTTTATTAGTTTTTTTAATAAATTAATCAACCAATTTATACAAAATTAAAAATTTAAATACTATTGAAAATTTTAAAATTAATTAATTGATCAATTGATTAATTAATCAATAATTAGTTTTGGATTCTTTAACAGTATCTAAATTTTTATTTTGTGTAAATATTTCAATATTGTAATTTTAATTCCTATTCCATAAAAAAAAAAAAAAAAAAAAAGATATTTTTTATAAATATAAAAAATTAAATAAATTTTAAAATTTGCTAGATATTAATTAAAATACAATATACATTTGCAAATGGGAATCAAAAAGATAACAATAATACCATAACCAGGATGGGTGGAAGCTCATTCTGTGACATAGGAAAAGGTGGAGTAAATTTAAAGTTTTTTTTGAAAATGAAAATATCCAATTCCACTATTTTTTTTAAATTTAGGTTTGTTTTATTTTTTTTAAAAATTTTTTTTTATTTTTTTTATTTTTTTTATTTATTTTTTTTTATTTTTTGTTTTTATCGTTCCTTCATCATCATATTATTTTTTTTATTTCCCATCCCTTTTTTAATAACATAATTACATAATAATTATATAATATATATATATATATAATAGACTCAATCATATTATAATATATATATATTTTTAACGTATATTTAATAAAATAATTAAAAATTTTATTTACTTTCTTTCATATAAAAATTTTATAATCATTAGGAAAAAATAGAAAAAGAAAAGAAATGAGGTTTTTAGTTTTATTAGTTGCATTTTTATTAAGTTTTGTATCTGCAGACCCATCATCAAATTTCACCGAGTATACAGTATATTATGCTGGTGGTGATACCTATGTTGTAAAGCCAGGTCTTGACTTTAGAGGTGTTGCATACGCAACCTACTCCAATCAAATGATGACCACCGGTTGGGGCTATCTCAGTCTCACCACTTCACAAGGCTATCCAGATTACATTCAAGCCGCAGGTGCTGGTTTTTTAGAAGGTTATATTTCACAACAAATGATCTGGCAAAATTGGGAAAATATGTATAAGAATGAGTATCACAATGCCATCGGAAGTGATGTCGAAAATTGGATTAACAGCAATCTCGATTATCTTACTACTCAAATTGCAGGAAACACAGATTCACCATATTGGCAACACACCGATTTATTATTAGCCCAACTTCTCTACATGCAACGTGGTTACAATCAATCTATCACCGATGCTAGACTTGATGATAACCAAATGTTAAGTATTATCCCATTCCTCTTAATGAACATGGATGGTGATATGATTGATCTTGGTCCAGCCCTCAATCTTACCAACGGAAAAGAACAACAAACTCCAGCTAGTGCACCAAATCCAAAACAAGCCTTCAAAGAATTTATGAGAAGAACTGGTCATTGTTCAGCCTTAATTAAATTAAATGCTGACTTAAGTGATTTATATTCTGGGTATTTATTGATTTATTGATTTATTGTATTTTGTTTTTTTAGTTTTTATAATGATATTAATGAGATTTTTTTTTTTTTTTTATAATTTTAATAGTCACACCACTTGGTCATCATATTATGAAATGGTCCGTATGTTCAAAGTTTACACATTTAACTTTGCTACACCAGCAGCCTCAAAAACTACTATGTTTTCAAGTTACCCAGCCACTTTATCATCAATTGATGATTTCTATCTTTTAGATTCAAATATTGTTGTCATTGAAACCACCAATGGTTTAATGAACAATAATCTCTATCATCTTATTTCCGCCGAATCAGTTCTTTCTTGGATGAGAGTTGTTGTTACCAACCGTTTAGCTACTTCAGGTCTTTCATGGTGTCAAACCTTCTCATTATATAATTCTGGTACTTACAATAATCAAGTAATTATTATATTTTTTAAAAAAAAAAAAAAAAAAAATAATTAAATTTATTAATGCCATTTCTTTTTTTAATTATTATAGTGGATTATTGTTGATTACAACAAATTCATTAAAGGTCAAAGCGTCCTTGATGGTACCCTCTACATTTTAGAACAAATCCCAGGTTATGTCGAATATTCAGATGTTACACCAATCCTTCGTAATGGATATTGGGGTTCATTCAACATTCCAGTAAGTATCATTATTTGAATTTGTTTTTTTAATTTTATTTTTATTAACTTTAAAATTTTTTTTTTCAATTTTATAGTTTTATGAAAACGTCTATGATGTTTCAGGTTTTAATGAAACCTATGCTCAATATGGCAGTTGGTTCTCATATGAAGGCTCACCAAGAGCATTAATTTTCAGACGTGATGCTAACAACGTTAAATCACTCAGTGATTTCCAAAAAATTCTTCGTTATAACAACTGGCAAAACGATCCATTTTCACAAGGTAATGCTGGTAACCAAATTTCAAGTCGTTTCGATTTAGTCACTCAAGATGATCCAAACAATCAATACCTTGATCCAGATGCTTTTGGTGGCATTGATTCAAAGGTTGTTAGTTCAGATATGGTTAAGAGTCTCATTGTTAACGCCCAATCAGGTCCATCACATGATAATGAAACTCCATTCTCATGGGACTCAAAGTGGAATACTAAATACACCTATTCAGGTCAACCAACTGTATGGAACTTTGGTTGGTATGCTATGAGTGTCACTACAATGGCTCCAGCTCAACAACAATAAATCAAAAGATCAATGATAATTAACTAAATTAGTTAATCAAAAAAAAACAAAACAAATTATTGTATCATTATCTTTTATAGTAATTTACCCATTTTTTTTTTAAACAAAAAATTATAATAAAATTACCAAAAATAATTATTCAACTATTTATTTTTGGTGCCCATATTTTTTTATAAGTTTAAATTAAGATTTTCAAATTTGTTTAAACAATTTTATTTCTTATTAATCAGATTTAAAATTTAACCCGTTTTTTATTTCACACTTTTCTTTTAAAAGAGTAATTTCTTTTAAAAAAAATCTTTTTTTCATTTTTTTTTTTTTTTTTTTTTTTTTTTAAAATTATTTTAAAATTTCCAAAAAATATATTTTTTATCAATATTTTTAATTTTTTATATTATTTTACACAATTTTATTTAAACTCTCAAAAAATAATTAAAAATGGCCAGAAAGCAACCAGCAGCAAGCAAAAAAATGAATAAAAAAGAAAAAGAGGATATCAGTGAAGAGGAAGATGAAATGGAAACAACATCAGATAGTTCAGAAACTGAAACAGAAGAAAAAAAAAAGGTAGTAAAAAAAGCATCTCCAAAGAAAGCTGCTAAAAAACCGGCTGCTAAGAAACCAGCTGCTAAAAAACCAGCTGCCAAAAAGAAAGAGGAAGAGGAAGAGGAAGAAGAAGAGGAGGGAACCGAGACTGAAAGCAAAGATGAGGGTTCTGGTGCTAAAATTGCAAATATTTCAGATGCAGGAAACTTTAATGAACCAAAAGTTGGTGAAAAACAACTTAAAGTTATCAGTTGGAATGTAGCAGGCTTTAGATCAGTATTAACCAAAGGTTTTTCAGATTATGTAGTCAAAGAGAACCCAGATATCTTATGTCTTCAAGAAACCAAAATTAAACCAACCGAAGTTCAGAAAAGTTCAATTCCAAGCGGATACGAATACCATTTCGTCTCAGCCGATCAAGCAGGCCACCACGGTACTGGTTTATTAACTAAACTCAAACCATTGTCATTAAAGTTTGGTATTGGTATTGCTAAGCATGATACTGAAGGTCGTGTTATCACCGCCGAATATGACGATTTCTATCTTGTAAATACATATATTCCAAATTCAGGTTCAAGAGGTTTAAAGAATTTAGATTACCGTATCAAAGAATGGGACGTCGATTTTCAAAAATATCTTGTCGAATTAGATAAAAAGAAACCAGTTGTTTGGTGTGGTGACTTGAATGTTGCACACACTGAAATTGATTTAAAAAATCCAAAAACAAATGTTTGTATTATTTATTCATTATTTTTAATTTAATTATAAAATACTAATATTTTATTTATTATATTTTAGACCAAGTCTGCTGGTTTTACAATCCAAGAAAGAACAAGTTTTGGTGATTTCTTAAATAAAGGCTTTATTGACAGTTACAGACATTATAATCCAGGTAAAGAGGGAGCATTCACTTTTTGGACATATATGGGCGGTGCTAGAGCTAAAAATGTTGGTTGGAGATTAGATTATTTTGTTGTTTCAAAGAGATATATCGATTCAATTAAAACTCCATTCATTAGATCAACTGTAATGGGTTCTGATCATTGTCCAATTGGTATTATTGTTAATATAAATTAATTATAAATGTAATAATAAAAATAAAAATAAAAAATAAAAATAAAAATTATTTCTAGATTATTTAAAAAAACAGTTTTTATTTTTTATTTTTTATTTTTTATTTTAATTTTTATTTTTTATTTTTTAAATAACGATAAAATTTTATTTTTCTTTATAAAATATTTTATTTCTAAAATATATTATATTTATTTGTTTATTTATTATTTGTTTATTTGTTTATTTGTTTATTTGTTTAATTTTTTTTGATTGGCGATTTTTTTTTTTTTTTATTAATAACGTTATTGATATTAAATATTAACCAGTGGGTAAAAAAAATAAATTAAAGAAAAAGTTGATGATCATTCTCTTTTCCTTCCGAATTCGTAAAGGGTATCACCAAACCCAACAAAAATGGAGATTCGTAAAGAGAAATTTAAAAAAAAAACACCTATAAAAAAATAAAAATAAAAAAAAAATAAAAAAAAAATAAAAAAATAAAAAATAAATTATTTTATATTAAATTTCTTGTTGAGAAACCAATATAATCTTGCATAGCTGCCTATTGTTGGTTTTTTTTTGTTTAGTTGGTGTCCTTTTGTTGAGGTCGAAATTTTTTTTTTTTTTAAAAATTCAAAAAATGATTTTTTTTTTTGATGACCAGAGGTCATGGTTACCAGACTATTTAAATAAATATTATTTAATTTAATTATTTATTTTTTTCTCACTATCAGTTAGCTAAACAATATTTCAAAATAAATAGAGGAGAAAAAAAAAAAAGTAAATCATTATCCAATTCTATTTTTTTTTATTATATATAAATTTTATATTTGTATATTTTTTTTTTTATATAAACTCACCAGAATGAGATTTTTAATCGCCTTATTATTAATTATTGTCGCTTTCGCCAGCAACACTTTCGCTTTACAATGCGAAATGTGCCAATATGCTATTAAAGCCGCTGAAGATTTAGTTGACCAAAACTTCACCCAAAACCAAATTTTACCATACTTAAACTCAGCTTGCAATTTATTACCAGAATCATGGGCTGCTCCATGTGAAATTGTTGTTGAACAATACGGCTGGCAATTCATCCAAAAAGCTATTGCTCACGAAACCCCAGAAGTCGCCTGTACCCAACTCGGTTTATGTGGTGCCAAACAATTAAGATTCGAAACTCCAGTTGAAGTTGAAGCTGAAGTTGAAGTTGAAGAACAAGAAGCCCCAGTCCAAACCAATATGCTCGGCAAATGGCACTGGAAAAAACACCACAAAAATCCATTCAAACACTTAGAAAAGGAATTAAAATGCAAAGTAAGTTGATTATAAATTTTTTTTTTTTTTTTAATTTTTAAAATTTTTTTTTTTCAAAAATTAATTTTTAATTTTAATTTTTTTAGGCTTGTCACTATGTTGTTGGTAAAGCTGATGGTTACATCAATCGTGAATTCAACGAAGCCAAACACGCCATCGACCGTGAATGTGATGTCTTTGAACTCCACCCAGCTGTTAAATATTGCAAACACATTGTTGATCACGAATTAGACAAAATCTTCAATGAAGTCAGAAGACATGAATCACCAGCCAACGTTTGCAAACACATCCATTGGTGTTAAATTATTTTTTAATTTTTAAATAAATTAATTTTTTTTTAACTTAAATTTTTTTTTTTTTATTTTTAATATTTTTATTAAAAAATTTATACAACTTTTATTATTTAATCTAAAATTTTTTTTATTAAAATATTTGGGCCATTTTTTATTGTACTCATTAATATTTATATCTATACATATTTAAATATAATTTTTTTTTCAAAAGGATAATTTTTTTTAAAAAAACATTATTCGAACTTTATTATTTTTTATTTTTTTTTTTTACCCAAAAATTTTATATTTTATATACAATAAAAATAAAAAATCTATTTCTAAAAACTTAATTTATTTGCATATATAATCTTTTTAAAAAAAAAAACTAAAAATTTTAATTTTTAAAAAACTTAAAAAGTTTAAGTTTTTTAAAAATGGGTGCTCTGTCATCAAAACATATGAGTCATAAAATAAGTTTTTATAATTTATTTTTTGTATAAATAAAATTTTTTTTTATTCTATTATTATTTTCAAAATTAAATAATAAAGTAAAAAAAATAATGGGAAATTATATATCCAAAGCACCAGTTTTAACATGTGTAGTATTAATTTTTGCCACTACAATATATATCTTAACAAAAAAAAATAAAAAAATAAAAAATGATAATATTGTAAAGGATGCCATAAATTCTATAAATAATAATAATATTAATATTAATAATAAAAGTAAGGCCCAAATTGAAGAAGAGGTATTAAAGAAATTCAGAGACTATGATATTGTAATTGATTTGGCCAGTGTTGATACATTTGTAATTAAAGATTCTTCATGGACCATTTATATAAGTGATCAAGTATTGAAAGACTGTGATCCATCTGCTGAATATCCAATTGCCAAAATCTTAGAAGGTTCAGATAAATATAAAACCATTACAGTAATTGGTTATTTTAAAAGAGGTAAATAAATTCTTTTGTATTTTATTGTTTAATTTTAAATTAATTTATTAACTAATTAATTTTTTTATTTTATAGGTAAAACTTTTGTTATTAATTTAATTAATGATTTTAATTTACCATCTGGTAGTAAGAACAAGACTAAAGGCTTATCAATGATTATTTCACAGGCTACCACCTCTTTATTTATTGATACACAAGGTGGTAATACACCACTTCCATGTCATACTAACGATGTTGAAGATGCCGAGCTCCAAAGAATCTATAATATCAGTACTGGCGATCCAAATCAATTGAACAATCTCCATCTTGCTAGAAAGAAAGCTACAGAGTCATTTATACAAGAAGTTGCTATCGGTTTATCTAATCTAGTTATTTTTGTTGTAAACGAGATGACATGGAGCGACCAACAAAACATAATGGCCCTTCAGAAAAAGATAATGAACCAAGAAAGCAAAGCTAGTCGTCTATATGTTATCCATAACTTTATGAATGTTGATAACGAGAAAGATTTGATTGCAATGATCAAGACCTATGTTACTACCCCATTCAAAGGTAGATTCCATCCAGATTTTGAATGCGATGATTTGGTTGTTCATAGTTTTGCTGATGCTGCTAATAATACCACCCATTTCTTCCTCTGTGATGATAACAGTGAATTTGGTCACAAATGGAACAGAATAGTTGCAAAACTTATTAGAAACAATATTAAGGGCATTATTGATGAAAATAAAGAATTTGATACCATTTTATTAAAGACCATTAAAGAAAAGATGAAAGTTAATATCAAGTATCCATCCGATTTGAAGATTGTACCATATAAGAACGAGGAGCTCTCTCTAGTTGAAAAACATCCAAAAAAAAAGAACTTTTCTTTTAATAGAGAAAAAAATAATATTAAGCCACACATGATAAAAGCTCTAGACGAATATGAAGAGTTGTTCGACCAAGTAGCCCCGATCTCCATTGATATCAACCAAATTCCAATGTTTTCTATTGTTCCGATCGAATACAAAGTTGATGGAAAAATTGACCATTCCCTAAAAGCTAAAGACATTGACTACATAGATAATAATATAGTTGTAAGAGGTGGTTATAAACCACCTTTTGACCGTATTGAAGATGAAAATAGTTTGACTCTAGTATTTGATATTCCTTTTATTTTTCAAAATGATATTAACCATATGATCTATTATGATAAAGATGAAGATTGTATGGTTTTAAGGGTCTGGGGTATTAGGGAATTGAAATATAAAACAGACGAAAAAGATGTAACTGATAATGGTAGTTTAGGCGTTTGCAAATATTCACCAGCCACAAAATTAATCCCATCTTCAAACTCTCGTAAGGAAGGTGAGTACGATCTAAGAATACCGATCCAAGCTTGTTATGGTATTGAATACGAAACAGATTTTGAAAACGGAATGTTAAACGTAATGTTTAAAAATATTTTGAACAAAAAAAAAATTATTAAATAAAAACAAAATTATTTTATTTTTCAATACATTTTTTATTTATTTATTTATTTATTTGTTTATTTGTTTGTTTGTTTACGAAGGTAATTTTTAATTTAAAAAAAAAAAATTAATTTTCATTTTTTTTTTTTTTTTTTTTTTTTTTCATTTTTTTTTTAATTAAAAAAAAAAAAAAAAAAAAAATTAATTTATATTTTTAAAAATATAAAGAAGCAATTTGTAATATTAATAAAGTAATAATATAATTTTTTATAATAATGTCTATTTTTGTGAAATCTTGGGCAGAATTAACAGAAGAAGATGAGGGTGATAATTTGTCACCTGTTATGTCAAGTAAAAGCCTTGATGAACAAGAAGAAGAAAATATAAAAAAATTAACAAATATAATTGACATAGTAAAGCTCGATGAACAAAAAATTAAAGAACAACAGCAACAACAACAACAACAACAAGAGCAAGAACAACAATATAATGGTAATAGTAATAAAAGTAATAATGGTCAAAAAAAGATTATTAAAAATGTATCAACAGGTAGAGTTTCAGCCTCCAAATATTTATCAAAACTGAATAAAAGATCTCCAGTTCAAAAAAAACTTCAAAAATCACCAACAAAGAAACAATATGATGATCAAGAGTTTGATGAAGAAGAGGAATTTGAAGAAGAAGGCGATGAAGAATTCAATGAGGAAGAGGATTATCAAAATAATGGCAATGATTATGAAGATAATGAAAAAGAAGGAAGCTTTAAAAATAATAAAAGTTTTAATAATAACAATAATAGAGGCACATTTTCACCACAAAATAATAATAATAGATCAAGAGAAGATATTTTCTTTAAAAATAATAGAAATTCACCACAAAATCACAAACAACATCAACAACAACAACATCATCAACACCAACATCAAAATCAACACCAACACCAAAGCCATCAAAACCAACGTAATCAATATCAACAAAATGATAATAAAAATATAAATAAATTCGAAGGAGATTTAAGAGATTTAATAAATGAAGAAGTTAAAAAATCACCACAAAAAAGTAATACTAATAGAGATGATAAACCACCAGTTGATTTAAGAGAATTAATTAACAGTGAAAAAAGAAAAGCAAATCCACCAAATCACAAACCAAGTTATCAAGAGGGTGAAGATACACAATCATCGTTAATGTCTGCAAGATTTTCAAGATTAAATAATGAAACACCACAATCACCATCACAACACTCGCCATCACAACATTCACCATATCAACAAAATAATCAACACAAACCCCAACAAAGATCAAATCTTACAACACCAATTACAAAAAGAAGAGATATTAATGATTTAACACCATACTCATCTCCAAATCCATCAACACCACAACAACAACAAAGATTTAAGAATCAACCATATCAAAACTCACCAACCTCAAGAGGTCCATTAAACTTTAATGTTGACTCACCATCAAAACAACCACAGCAACAATCACCACCACCAAAAGCAATTAATATGAATGAAGTTAAACCAATTATTGGAACATGCAAAGATTATGAAAAACCATACCTTAGATTAACTGGTAAGGCAGACCCAAGCAAAATTAGACCAATCGATATTTTAGAGACTTGGTTCCCAAAGCTAGTCAGAAAGTACCAAAATACAAAAAATTACAACTATACTTTGGACCAATTGAAATCAATTAGACAGGATTTAATGATTCAACATATTAGAAATAAATTTACCTTGGGTGTATATGAAGCAAATGCAAAAATTTGTTTGGAAAACTCTGATTTTGGCGAATTTGGTCAATGTTTATCTCAAATCAAAGAGCTATACGAAACCATCGAATCTGAAAATCAATTTGAATTCCTTTCATACGATTTATTATTTACCCTATTATTTAGTGACGATGGTAAGTGCAACAACAATAAATATCTATTATATTATGGTTGCTAATATTTTTTTTAAAAAATATTTTAGAATTAGTATCACTATTACCAAAAATTATAAACAATACAGAACTATTTAATAATCAAATAATCAAACACTCATTCGAAATTGTTAAATCGGTTTTAAATAAGAATTATTGTAAATTTAATAAACTCTATCTTGGATGTTATAATATGGAAAAATATTTATTGGAGAAAATACTAAATGAAAAATTAAGAGTTTATTCATTGGATGCAATGGTCAAATCATACAAACCATCAATCCATTTTAACTTCCTCGAAAAAGAATTATCATTTTCAAATCAAGATGAATTAATCAAGTTTTTAGAAAACTATCCTAAACAATTAAATATCAACAAAGAAAAACAAGAACTAGTTTGTTCATCAAAAAAAAACTAAAAAATAAAATAAATAATATTATTTACATTAATATTATTTAATTTTAATGGTTTGTTTAAATTACTATATATTTTATTTATTTATTAAAATTATATTTATTTATTCATAGTTTGAACCTGGTGTTGTATTTTTATTAATATCTGGTTTTGAATTTGTAAATAGATCTGAAAACTTTCTCATAAATCTTGATTGTTGTTTTTGTTCTTGGATTGGTTGTTGAAATTGGTTAAATTGTTGATGTTGTTGAATTGGTTGTTGAAATTGGTTAAATTGTTGTTGTTGTTGTTGTTGATATTGTTGTGGTTGTGGAGCTTGTTGAAACTGTTGTGGTTGTGGAGCTTGTTGTTGATATTGTTGGTATGGATATAAGTTTTGGTTTAATGGATGTGGTTCTTGGGTATTTTTAATATTAGCACTGAAAATATTATTTGGAGTTATTTGTTCTGAATTTAATTGAGCTGATTGTTGTGGTTGTTGTGGTTGTTGTTGGATTGTTTGTTGAATTGTTTGTGGGATTGGTTGCTGAACTGATTGTTGAACTCTTTGGTGTTGTTGCTCTCTAATAGTTTGTGACATACCAGTAACAATTAAAGTAACTCTAATTCTACTATCTAATTGTTGATCAAAGCTTGAGCCAAAAATAATATTTGCCATTGGATCTACCTTGCTACTAACTAAACTTACAATTTGATCGACTTCATGTAATTTAAGGTCATTACCTGTGACATTTAAAAGTACACCTTTAGCGCCAGAGATATCGATATTTTCTAATAATGGGTTATTAAGAGCCATAAGTGCAGCAACTTCACCACGACCTTTACCTTCAGCTTCACCAACACCCATTAAAGCTTTGCCACTATTGCACATAATTGATTTAACATCGGCAAAATCAAGATTGATAAGACCTGGTTTGACTAAAATATCAGAGATACCTTTAATACCATTGTATAAAACATCATCGACCATTTGGAAAGCATTGCCAATATAAAGATCTTCTGAATTTTCCATAAGCTTTTGATTTGGGATTACGATTAAACTATCGACAGAGTTTTCGAGTTCTGTTAAACCTTGATCAGCTAATCTCATTCTATGTTTACCTTCGAAATGGAATGGTTTGGTGACAATACCAACAGTAAGAATACCTTTTGCTTTAGCAGCTGAGGCAACTACAGAGGCACCAAGTGTACCTGTACCACCACCTAAACCAGCAGTAACAAATAATAATTGAGTGTCACCAATTTGATTCATTAACTCTTCAATTGATTCTTCAGTTGCTTTTTTACCAATTTCTGGGACAGCACCAGCACCTAAACCTTTTGTAATTGATTTACCAAGTTGAACAATTTTTTTACTACCTGAAATTGCTAAAGCTTGAGCGTCAGTATTTGCAACAATAAAATCGACACCACATAATTCCTTTGAAATCATATTATTAACTGAATTTGAACCGCCACCACCTACACCACATACTGTAATGCTTGGAATTGTAATCCAATCTTTATCTCCATTAACATTTGTTGAATATTTTTTAATATTTAATCCAAAGCTGAATTTTAAAAATAAAATTAATATAAAAAAAAATAAAAAAGATAAATTAAATAAATACTTACTTTGGTTGTTGTTGTTGAAAAATTGAAGTTCTTAATAAAGAATATACTTTATTAAGATTTGAATTTTTAATAAATAATTGATTCATTTTTGTTTTATAAAAAATCTAATGAAAATTAGCAAAACAAAAAAATGTTTATACAAATTATAAAAAAAAATTTGGAAAAAAAAAAAGAAAAAAAAAATCAAAAAAATTTAAAAAAAAAAAGAAATTATTTTTTAAATTATTAATATTCAAATAAAACAATTATGATCATTGCCCAAAAATAAAAAAAAAAAAAGATATTTTGGTGTTTAAAATAAAAAATAATCTATGCTATATTTTTTTATTTTTTTTATTTTTTTTATTTTATTACTTTTTATTAATGAGTTTTTGGAATAACCTTTGAAACTTTGTCAATTAAAAGTTGAACAACTTCAGGCTCGGCCAAAGTTGAAATATCACCCAATTGTTCTGGAGTTGATTCATGGGCACCGATCTTTCTTAAAATTCTTCTCATAATTTTACCAGATCTAGTTTTTGGAAGTGAGGGTGTGATAATGATTACATCAGGAGTTGCAAATGGACCAATAATGGTTCTAACTTCTTTTTTTAAGAGGGCAATTACATTTGACTCATCTTCTTCATAACCTTGTTTTAAAGTACAAAATGCTAAAATACCTTGACCTTTAATATCGTGTGGGAAACCTACAACGGCAGCTTCAGCACATAATGAACAACCAACCAAAGCACTTTCCAATTCTGCAGTACCTAAACGATGACCTGAAACATTGATAACATCATCTACACGACCCTCAATCCAATAGTAACCATCGTTATCACGTCTTACACCATCACCTGTGAAATAATGACCTGGATATGGGTTCATATAAGTTGTTAAATAACGAGAGTGTGATTGAAATACTGTACGAGCCATACCTGGCCATGGTCTTGCAACTGCTAAAACACCACTTGCTTCTTTTTCACCTGTAATAACTTGACCAGTTTTTGAGTCTAAAACACGTAATTCTATACCAAAGAATGGTTTTGTTGCTGATCCTGGTTTCATTGGTGTTGCACCTGGAAGTGGTGAAATGAGATGACCACCAGATTCAGTTTGCCAATAAGTATCAACGATTGCGCATTTCTCTTGGCCAACATGATTATAAAACCATCTCCAGGCTTCTGGGTTAATTGGTTCACCAACTGAGCCTAAAACTCTTAGTGAACTTTTATCTGAACTTTCGGTAAATGAGACTGGGAATTTCATAAGGGAACGGATTGCAGTTGGGGCAGTATAGAATTGAGTAATTTTGTGACGTTCGACCATTTCCCAATATCTTGCAGGGGTTGGATGAAGTGGTGTACCTTCAAATATAAATGTAGTTGCACCATTTGCTAATGGACCATAAACTATATAACTGTGACCTGTAATCCAACCTACATCTGCCATACATGCATAAATATCGTCATCTTGATAATCGAAAACATATCTGTGGGTCATGGCAGCATATAAAAGATAACCTGCTTGGGTATGAACCAAACCTTTTGGTTTACCTGTGCTACCACTGGTATATAGAATAAATAATGGATCTTCTGAATCTAAAAATACAGGTGGACAATAAGGACGTTGCTCAACCATAGCTTCATCTGCCCAAATATCAATGGATGAGTTAAAATTTACATGACGACCAGTATTTTTAAAGACCAAGACATGTTCTACCGATTTGCAATGTTTTACAACTTGATCAATTTTCTCTTTTAATGGAATATATCTACCACCACGTAAACCTTCATCAGCTGTAATAATAAGACGGCATTTAGCGTCATCAACTCTTGAAACAATTGATTCATAACCAAAACCTGCAAAAATTACTGAATGAATTGCTCCAATTCTAGCACATGCCAACATTGAGTAAATTGCGATTGGAGTGTTTGGTAAATAAATTGCAACTGCATCGCCCTTCTTTATTCCTAATGATAATAATACATTGGCTAATCTATTAACTTGTAAATATAATTCATAATATGTAATTTTTTGAACTTGTGTTGCTTCATCACCTTCAAAAATAATTGCAACTTTATCTTTATTTTCTTTTAAGTGTCTATCGATACAATTGTATGAGACATTAATTTTACCATTTAAAAACCATGATACATCGCCATTTTGAAATGATCTAAAATTAATAAATTAAATTAAAAATTTTTTTTATTAAAAAGTTAATATTAAATTTTTATCTTTTTTTTTTTTGTTTATTTTATTATCTAACTTACCCTGATGTAACTTGTGTATAATCTGAAAACCATGTTAAAAAATTTTTAGCTTGTTTATCCCAAAAATCATTTGGGTTTTCTATTGATTCTTTATATAATTTATTATATTCTTCAATTGAAGAGATATGACTTTTTGCTGGGAAGTTTGGAGGTTGAAATATATTTGCATCAGACATCATTTGTGTTGATTTGTTGAACTTGAAAAAAAATAAAAATTAATTTTTTTTTGAAAAATTGAAAAAAAAAAAAAAAAGAAAAAAAAGAAAATTAAAAAAATAAAATTTTAAAAAAAAATATGATATTTATTTACTGGTATTAAATGTTATTGTGATTTATAAAAAAATAAAAAAAATTTAAAAAAAAAAAATTAAATGGGAAATGATAAAAAATTTTTTATTTTAAAAAAAAATAATTTTATTTAATTAAATATAAATAAGTGTAATTATTTAGGAAATATGCTTTTGAATTATTTTATTTTTTTTAATTTTTTAATTTTTTTAATAAATAAATAAAAGAAGGATATTTAAAACAAATAAAAATAAATAATATGGGTTAAAATAAAAAATGAAATTTTTTTTTTTTTTTTTCATTTTTTATATTAAAAAAAATTAAAAATTAATTTAAAAAAAATAAATAAAAAACATTTTATTTTTATTTTTTTTTAAAAACACAGAAATAAAAAAATAATGTTTTTTATATCTAATTAAATGAGCAAATTAACTCAATAATAAAAGAATTTATATTTTAACTAAATCTATAAATAAGAATTCTATCTACTAATATTTTTAATTAATATAATTTTGTTATTATTATTTTTTTTTTTTTTTTTTTTTTAATAATTAATATTATCGGTGTAAGAGATAGTAATTTATTAATAAAATTTTTGAAATAGTTTTGTGAATAGGTTTATAAATAAGAGGTTGGGAAGTTGATTAGAATATTTTTGGATCATCTGGAACAAATTTATTCAAAAACACAATTTAGCGAATCATTATCAAGTTTATTCAATACTATTTTATCAATTGTAAAAAAATTATACTAAATTATATCACGAAGAACTATATTTAATAAAAAGGAAAAATGGTAACATATTATTTATAAAAAATAAAATTTTATTATATTATTTAAAAATTTTATGATATTTCAGTATCCTAATACTGAAAATATTTTCGATTGGTCTGATGGAGTTAAAAATTATTTCGTATATTATTTCTAATTATGACATAGTAGTAATTTGTGGAAATGGTAAAAATCTGAATCCTTTTTACTATTGATTCTATTTTTGTTATATATTAAAATATTATTGATGTGATACTATCGTTACTAATATATTGAGTTTTTTGATTCTATAGTCTATTATTATTATTAATATTAATTTTTTTTTTATTTTTTTTTTTTTTATTTTTTATATTTTTTTTATATTTTTTTTTTATATTTTTTTTTTATAAAATTATATTATTAATTATTATTGATTAACTAAAAGTTTTTTTCTAGCTTTAAGTTATGATTTCTAATTTAAAGTCAACTATTTTTTTTCTATGGCAGCTATAAAATATCTATGGGAATTGATTATGTGTTGGGTTTTATATAACTAATTTAGAAAAAACAAAATTGGAAATAGAATAGCTATTAAATAAATTATCCATTTTCGAAAAAAAGAGAAATGTAAATTATCTATATAAAAAATAATATGCTATTTAATATTATTACTATTACTAATGAGAGCTATAACTAATATGAAACTGTATATTGTTATTTTGAAGTTGAAAAATAATGAAGAGGAATAAAAAAAAAATAAAATAAGTATTTATTTTTATCGATTTTTATAAAATTTGCAAATTGATGTAAAATAACACACACCATAATTTCTCTTTTTTGCACTTCTTTTTAAACGTTTTATTTTTTTTTTTTTTGATTATAACCAGCTTTTTTTTTAATTTTTTTTTCTTTTTTTAAAATACTATTAGCCACTCTTTGTAAAGAGTGTTTCCAGCTCTACCACGAGGAGGTTAGTATATTAGAGCCAATGGTTAATTATTTATACCTTCAGGCAGTATAAATAATTAAACACCAAATTGAAAATTTGTGGTTAATTATGTATACCACCACGCAGAATACATAATTAACCACCTCATTGAAAATTAGGTAAATTTCAAAAACATAGATACCAAGCGGGCCCAACTCAGAATCTATGTAATCAAAATACCTATTGGGAGTTGATTTTATGATCCATAGTACTTGAAATTTTGAATGTTATATAATATTTGATATTTTTTAAAGATCCATAATACTTGATTTATTTTTAATTCTAAATAATCCTTGATGTTTTCATTAAATAATCCTTGATGTGTTTTAATTCTAAATAATCCTTGATATATTTTAATGATTCATTATAGTTTATATTTTTATATGCTATATAATACTTGATATTTTTAATTATCAATAATATTTGATATTATGAGTGTTACACAATAATAGACATATTTTAAATGATCCAATAAAATATTTATCCTATAATCATTATACAATAAATCTTGATATTATTGAATGATTTAATCCACTTTAATATTCTTGAATGTATAATGAAAATAAATTTTATAAAATTATGGTATAAAATAAATAAATAAAATTATAGTTGAATTTTAAATGATCCAATAAAATACTTATACTATAATTATTATACAATAAATCTTGATATCATTGAATGATCCAAACCAATTGTATATTATTGAATATATATAATGAAATAAATTTTATAAAATTATGGTATCAAAATAAAAAAATCCTTATTTGTTTTAATGATAAATAATCATTAATATTTATAATGCTAAATAAACCTTGATTATATTTTAATGATACACAATTGTTGATATTTTTATATGCTATATAATTCTTGATATTTTTTAAATGCTTAATAATACTTGATATTTTTTAAATGCTAAACAATATTTGATATTTTATATGCTAAATATTACTTGATATTTTTTAAATGCTTAATAATACTTGATATTTTTGTATGATCCTTATTTGATAATTTTTAATTCCAAATAATATTTTATATTTTTTTATGATCCATATTACTTGATATTTTTTTATTTTATTTAATACTTGAATTTTATATGATCCATATTACTTGTTATTTTTTAATGACTCATGATACTTACCTTATAATCATTCAATAAAAAAACAAAAGATAGTTGAATGAAAAATCCAAATTGAAATTATTATATTATATTTTTTATTGATGTTGAAATTAAGAGTTTTTTTCTTCTATTTGAGGTAATTATTTGCTTCTATTTTATTTTTCTAATAATCCAAATTCTATAATTTCGATTATCAATTTTTTATTTACTTGTATATTATATTAAATAATTGATTTTATGTTTTGATAATATTTTAAAATAGAATGAAATGAACATGTAATAAGTGAATAAAACAACAAATAATTGTAGTGGGTGAGTATATTAGAGCTGAATGGTTAATTATGTATCCCACCACGCAGAATACATCAATTAACCACCATATTGAAAATAGAAATGAAATGTATGTTTATAAAAC